CCTGGGGAGGAGGTGAGCAGCCCTCTCTAGGAAGCACTCTACTTAGAGAGGGCTTGAGGGCCTCTCCTTAGAGGCTGAGGGCTGGGAGCTGGCCTCGGGTCCCTCTCTCTTCATCCATCTCTTTGCACTGGCAGCTGGGGCATGAGCAGGCTTCCACTAGGTCAGCCACGGGGCAGCTTTCTCTGGCTTCATGACCCTTCCAGAACCCACCTCCTCTCACCCTCCCTGGCCTTCCCTCTGCTCTCAAACCCACTGGCTTTGTTTTTCCCTCTTTTCACTTGTTCTTCTCTCTGCCTGGCGTGTCCCCCTCCACACTTAACTTGCCTCCAGTCTCCCCTCAGTGGAAACAGTGGCTGACTTTATTTTGGGGGGGCTCCAAAATCACTGCAGATGGTGATTGCATAAAATTAAAAGACGTTTACTCCTTGGAAGGAAAGTTATGACCAGCCTAGACAGCATATTAAAAAACAGAGACATTACTTTGTCAACAAACGTCCGTCTAGTAAAGGCTATGGTTTTTCCAGTGGTCGTGTATGGATGTGAGAGTTGGACTATAAAGAAAGCTGAGCACTGAAGAACTGATGTTTTTGAACTGTGGTGTTGGAGAAGACTCTTGAGACTCCCTTGGACTGCAAGGAGATCCAACCAGTCCATCCTAAAGGAGCTCAGTCCTGGGTGTTCATTGGAAGGACTGATGTTGAAGCTGAAACTCCAATGCTTTGGCCACCTCATGCAAAGAGCTGACTCTTTTGAAAAGACCCTGATGCTGGGAAAGACTGAAGGCAGGAGGAGAAGGAGACGACAGAGGATGAGTTGGTTGGATGGCATCACTGACTCAATGGACATGGGTTTGAGTAAACTGCGGGAGTTGGTGATGGACAGGGAGGCTTGGCGTTCTGTGGTTCATGGGGTCGCAAAGAGCTGGACACGACTGAGCAACTGAACTGAGCTGAACTGAACAATCTCCCCTCACAGAGAGGCCTTGCCCACCAGCTACCCTGGCTGATGTGGCAGCCCCCATGTGTGCCCCATCAGTCACCACTCTCTGCCTGATTTTCTTGCTTTCTTTTTCACTATTTATTTTTATTTGTGTTTTTAAATGAAATATTTCTAACAGAAAACAATACAACAATACCCACCTGCCCATCTCCCAGGCTTGACAAGGGCTAATATTCTGTTCTGCGTGCTTGCTTTAGATTTCCACCCCCTACTTTACTGAGGTATAATTTATATGCAATAAATGAAAAGTGGAAGTGTTGGTCACTCAGTTGTGTCCAATTCTTTGTGGCCCCATGGACTGTAGCCCACCAGGCTCCTCTGTCCATGCAATTCTCCAGGCTGAAATACTAGAATGGGTTGCCATTTCCTTCTCCAGGGGATCTTCCTAACCCAGGAACTGAACCCCGGCCTCCTGCATTGCAGGCAGATTCGTTACCATCTGAGCCCGCCAGGGAAGCCCATATGCCGTAAACACGTACATTTAAAATATATAGTTTATTAATTTGGGGGCAAGTGCACCTGTGAAACAACTACCACAATCAAGATATAGAATATTTCTGTCTTCCCCAGAAAGGCCCTGCATCTTCCTTGCCCTGCTGGAGTCTTCTTCCTTGTACTCAGCATTATCTGAAATCACCTCATTCATGACTTTTTTTTAGTCTGTTGACTGTCTCTGCTTCCAGAATGTATATTCCATGACGCAGGCATCATATCTCATTTCAGTCCAGGCACATAGTAGGCCCACAGGCAATCAATGGAAGCCACTCGGTACCCTTGTGTGCTCACAGCCTGGCACATTTTGTGGGATGATGTCTGTAGGGTCTGCTGGAGATGGAGCTGCTGGGTTAAAGAATATTTACTCTCTTTTTGTTATCACAGAGGAGACTACTGTCTCCCTTTCTCTCGTCTGTCCAGTGTTTCTCAACCTCAGCACTGTTGCCATTTGAGGTTGCGTCATTCTTTATGTGGGGTGGTGGCTGTCCACTAGATCTGGGTGTTCTACAAAGGGAGGGGTACCAGGACACCCCCCACCGTAGCTGTAACGACCCAAGATGTCTTCAGACATTGGCAAATGTGCCCTGGGGACAAAACTGTCCCCAGTTGAGAACCACTGGTCTGTGTATATAGGCTCATTTCTTGCCAACCTAAATTGTTCCTCAGTTGAGCCCATCTCTAAACAAACTACCCTCGATGACTAGATTAGTTGAATCTGGTTTTTTTTTTTTGTCCTGTTTATGCAGCTCAGCTGACTGAATTACAAATTCTGATCCCTGTTTATACAGTTGCATTATGAGATGAGACGCTGGTTCATTTTAGAAGCAGGGAAGGCATCACTCTGACTTACAAACCTGGGAGAAACGAAGCCCATGGGACTTTCGGATGGCTTCTCCCTGGCCTGGGCACCAGCATGATACACAGCACTCCTTGCCTGAGGACAAACGTGCATTCCAGGCCTTCGAGAACAAGAAGGAAACCCTTAGCAAATGTGTAAAGGGCTCTGAACGTCTCTGATTACTCAAGACACTGAGTTGGCCATTTCTTTCTTGACAAATCTGCAAGCTTGTGTGCCCAGAGCTGGACAGCAAGAATATAAAGGGTGAAGGAGGACAAGTGGGGAGCCCGTGACATGAAGAGACAGATCCTGTCTGGGGGGCACTGCATTGCAGCCAGATGTTGCCAGGTGGGGATGTAGGCTCAGCCTTGCCAGACCTTCCTGTTTTTTCAAGAAAGGCAAGATATCTAGGCTTTTTTGTGTGTGAAAAATCTTGATTCTTGAATTTTATAAATATTAGCAAGTAATTATCTGTTTAAACATGATGTAAACCAAACAAAACGTATCTACAGGCTGCCGGTCAGCATCCTCTGAGTTGATTTCCAAGGTTGTTTCATGTTTGGTGACTAACTCAGTGGGTTCAGAAATATTTTAGTTTGACTCTTCATTCAGTCAACAAATGTTTATTGAGTATCTGCATGAACCAAGCATTGTTCTTAGAGTTGTCACTTGCTATTGACTCATTCAAATGACTGACAGCAGAAGAGATAGAGATTATGGGTGGGAGAGTGTGTGGGTGGACAAAGGATGGACAGATGGATAGAGAGATCAATCTCATCATTTAGAGATACGTGCTAGACTATTACAGATAAAATAATATGATGTTTGGGAATTACTTCAGAATAAGATGAGGGGTTGGATGAGGGTTTAGGTGAATCAAGATTGGCCATGTGATGGTAATTGTTGAAGCTGATTGATGGTGCTATGAGGAAGCTCCTTATATGCTTCTGCTTTCTTTTGAATGTGATTGGAAATTTCCCATACTGAAAATGCTTGGGCTTTTATTTATTTATTTCTGGCTGTGCAGGGTCATCGTTGCTGCTCGTGGGCTTTCTCTAGTTTAGACAGACGGGGGCTACTCTTCATTGCAGTGCATGGGCTTTTCATTGCGATGTCTTTTGTTGTGGAGCCCAGGCTCTAGGGTGCAGGCTTCAGCAGTTGTGGTGCTCGGACTTAGTTGCTCTGTGGCACGTGGAATCTTCCTGGACTAGGGATGGAACCCGTGTCCCCTGCATGAGCAGGCAGATTCTCAACCATGAATCACCATGGAAGTCCGAAATATTTGTTTTAATGTCCTTATCAGAAAGGCACTCTAAAAGATACATAGGGAAAATAACATCATGCCTGGGACTTGGTTTAAAATATGCAGCTAAAGTTTCTTACAAGTCCGGGTATAGATGTGCTATGGTTTGAATGTTTGTGGTCCACTCCCCCACCCCCTGGGAAGTTTCCATGTTGGAATCCTCACATGCAATGTAATGGTGTTAGAATGTGCAGCCTTTGGGAAGTGGATATGTGGATAGATGGCTGTCATGAAGGTGGAGCCCCCCAAGAATGGGATTAGTGCCCTTATTAAAACTCCAGAGAGCTTCCCAGCCCTCTGCTAAGGAGTCTGCGACCCTGAAGAGGGCCCTCACCCAACGATGCAGGCACCCTGATCTTCCAGTGTCCAAAACTGTGAGAGAGAAATTCCTATTGTTTATAAGGTCCCCAGTCTGTGGTATTTTTGTTACAGCAGCCTGTATGGTCTCAGACAAGATGAAACATGTTGCAACATGTTGATAATTGGTATAATTGGGTGATAGGTATATGGAGATTAATGAAACTGGACTATTTAATTTGTATTTGATGTTTACAGAGATAAAGAAGTGGGGGCCTTGTTTCTAGGTACTGTTGGAAGGATGGAGTCATGCACTGGGTGCGTATGTGAGCTTCCCACAGTTTGATTGTATTAACAGCAAAGGAACAGATACTCTTCAGCAAGGGATGCCACAGTCCCAGCTTTGTGGTGAGGCTAGAAACACAGGCTTTGCACAGGCTTTTTGTGGGCTCAGCCTGCAAGTTGAGAACAGATTTCTCAACCTGCTAAAATATTACAGATAAAATAATATAATGTCTGGGAATTACTTCAGAACAATATGAGAGCCTGCAGGATGGTTTCCCTGCAGGGTGGGCTGCCTCCCCAGTATCCTGCTGGAAGGCAGAATTCGCACAGTGGTCAGAGAGTCTGGAATCAGCCTCCCTAGGTCCAAGTGTCAGCACTACCACTTTCTAGCTGTGTGGCCTTGGACATGTTTCTCAGCCTCTGTCTCCTCCAAGCCTCAGTTTCCTCTTCTGTTAAATGTGAAGACTGAACTAATAATTTCATGTAAAGTACTTAGCACAGTATTTGGCATGTGGCATTTATTTCATATCATTATTGATGCTTTTGTTCTTACTATGTTGTTGCTGCTCTTACACATTCTAAAAGCAGAACAAACTTTCTGAGATGGAAGGAAGAAAATGACTGGGGAAAGAGGCTAAAAGAAGTCAGAAAAAGAGGTGTCCTCTGTCAGCTGATCCACCCATAGAAGTCTGTTTGTGAGCTGCTGGAATCAATTTCCTGCATGAGAGGTGCAAAAGAAATACAAGAAAAATGCAACTTCCTGATTATATCCTTTCTCCACAGAATGAGGTAGAACTCGGGGAGCTGCTTCTGTCACTGAATTATCTCCCGAGTGCTGGGAGGCTGAACGTTGACGTCATTCGAGCCAAGCAGCTTCTTCAGACAGATGTGAGCCAAGGTTCAGGTACCGTGTGGCCCCTCCCTCTGTCATTGCTTTAGCAAGGCATCTGTGTTTGTTCGACACAAGGGACCTGATTTTTTTTTTCTACATCCTGGATGCTGTTAACTCATAGGACCTTCTGAGGATAAAATAGTATCCAGATCTAGTCTGTTAGTTCAAGAGATAATGATCAGATGTCTCTTAGGATGAAGCAGGTAAATGATACCATTCCCTCTGAAGTGGGGGTTTGATCGAGACCAGGTGTGATAACTATTGAAATCTAAATCCTCCTTGTACACATGCGGCCTGGAGAAAGTTACTTGCCTGTCCAGATGCTATGCTTCCCTGGTAGCTCAGCTGATAAAGAATTCGCCTGTGATGCAGCAGACCCCGGTTCAATTCCTGGGTCAGGAAGATCCTCTGAAAAAGGGATAGGCTGCCCACTCCAGTATTCATGGGCTTCCCTGGTGGCTCAGCTGGTAAAGAATCTGCCTGTAATGTGGAGACCTGGGTTCGATCCCTGGGTTGGGAAGATCCCCTGGAGAAGGGAATGGCTACCCACTCCAGTATTCTTGCCTGTAAAATTCCATGGACTGCATAGTCCATGGGGTCGCAAAGACTCGGACATGAGTGAGTGACTTTCACTTTCACTTTCCAGATGCTATGCCTGCAATGGAGACACCACGCTCCAGGTGGCGGTAGTGTGCACTGACGATGCTTTCTAGTTGTGAGACCAGTGGACACCCTCTGAGGTTCTTTTTCTAGCTCATTTCAGGTGTAGCATCAGTTCAGTTCAGTCGTTCAGTCGTGTCCGACTCTTTGTGACCCCATGAATCGCAGCATGCCAGGTCTCCCTGTCCATCACCAACTCCCGGAGTTTACTCAAACTCATGCCCATCAAGTCGATGATGCCATCCAGCCATCTCATCCTCTGTCGTCCCCTTCTCCTCCTGCCCCCAATCCCTCCCAGCATCAGGGTCTTTTCCAATGAGTCAGCTCTTCGCATCAGGTGGCCAAAGTATTGGAGTTTCAGCTTCAGCATCAGTCCTTCCAATGAACACCCAGGACTGATCTCCTTTAGGATGGACTGGTTGTAACTCCTTGCAGTCCAAGGGACTCTCAAGAGTCTTCTCCAACACCATAGTTCAAAAGCATCAATTTTTTATAGCATACATCTTTATAAATCCCAGCTCTGAAAACCCTGCTGTATTTCAAGTGTCTATAACACACCAATTTGAACGTGACTTTTAATGAAATAGAACAGATTACATTCCCTCCTTATGTAGCTTTCCCATGACAGCAAAGGATATTATCATGAAAGTAGTCATGGTTGCTGGGATCTCTTCAGCTCAGTGGTAGAAATATAGTCTTTTCTAAGTGCAATAGCTAAAATAAATTACTTTTGCTATAAAGTGACAGCTGAATTTAGAAGACAACTTGTATTCTCAAAAACCACATATTAAAAACAGATTTTGAAGGGACCAGTGGAGGGAATGGTATTAAAGCTGGAGAGTTTCAGATTCACTGCAATGGGAGAGTCAATATGATAGGATGATTAAGGGCTCCTGAGTAAAACTGCCTGGAACCAAATCCTAATTCTACTTCTTATAAATGATGTGGTCTTGGGGAAGTTACTTAACCTCTATAGACCTCAATTCTCTGTCTGAAAAATTGAGATAACAGTATTTATCTCATTGAGTTGTTTAGATGAACATAAAATTAGGTAATGTACATGAATTTCTTTGTAAGCTGTAAAGTGATCTAAGAATAATAGTTATAATTCTGCCATCTCTATTTCCCCCTATATGGGCTTTGGGCTCACTGACATGGTGATGGGCCTCTAAGGGCAGAAAAACTGGGACAGGCTCTGGGTCTAGCTATTCTTCCACTAGCCTTATCTTAAAGCAAATCATTTCCTATTTGAGTTCTCAGTTTCTTCATCTGTAAAATTAACACAATGCCTGACACATGTGGGGAGCTCAGTAAATCTTGCATGGCTAGAGAGAGAAAGGGTGAGCAGAGAAGAAGCTAGATGGGAAAAAGAAAAAAAATATGTGGATAGATGGGGAAATGGATGAATGAAAAAAGGAGTGAAAACCTGGAATAGATGGACTGATGAAAGATGAAAGAACGGTCAAATGGTTGGAAAGTTAGATGAACAGATGGATTGGGTTTCATGATCTCCAACACTCTATTCTCAGACCCATTTGTGAAAATTCAGCTGGTACATGGACTCAAGCTTGTGAAAACAAAGAAGACATCCTTCTTAAGAGGCACAATCGATCCCTTTTACAATGAATCCTTCAGCTTCAAAGTTCCCCAAGAAGAACTGGAAAATGCCAGCCTAGTGTTTACAGGTAGGTAGTGTTCCAGACATTGAGAACTACAGGTGAGACATATTCAACGTATTGTCCTAGGGATAGAAGGTGATCTCGAGAGGGTGATATTTAAGAACATCATGTCTGGTATTTAGCTACCTGGGTTTGGACTTACCATTTGTGAATTTGGAAAAGATTTATAGAACCAAAAAGTATAATCATTACAAATGCAAATTTCGAAGCCAGATGTCCCAGCACTTCCACATAATTACTAAAGTCTTAGGCAAGTTACTTAGCCATTCTGAGTTTCAGTTTCTGTCATCTGCAAAATGTGGGCAGTAAGAGTACTTGTTTCATAGGTTTGTTGTGAAGATGAAGTGACTTATGACTTTGAGATAATCCTAAGTACTATGTGAGCTTTGATGATATGATGATTCAAGTAGCTTATGGTCTAATAGGGAAACATAAGAAAATGCGATCACCTAACTCAGAGAGGAGGATTTTGAAAGTCTTCCCAGAGGACATGGTATTTAAGTAAAGACTTCAGGTGCCACACTCTGGCTGAATCTATTGTTTCCAAAGTATAATTTAATCTACTGTTTCCAGGATGTATTGGTTACCTATTGCTGCAAAATCACCCCAAACTTTAGTAGTTTAAAACAATCAGTATTTATTCTCATATTTGCTATGGGTCAAGAATTTAGGCATAGCTTTGCTAGGTGCTTCTGGCTGAGGTTCTCTGACAGGGCTGCAGTTAAGGTATTGGCTGGGGCTGCAGTCTCATCTGAAGGCTCACCTGAAGGTTGGGTGGGGATCTGTTTTTAATCTTCACATTGTTGTTGGCAGGATTCAGTTCCTTGCAGAACGTTGGCTTGGGGCCTCTGGTCCTTCGTGGATGTTGGCCAGTGACCTTGCCCAATTACTTATCACATGGACTGCTTCATAGCGCAACTTACAATATGGCAACTGGCTTAAAGTGGGCAAATGAGGGGGTAAGAGAGAGTGAGCAAGAGGGAAGCTATAGTCCTTTTGCAACCTAGTCTTGGAAGTGACAACCTATCACTTTTGTCACATTCCATTCATTAGAAGCAACTCACTAGGTCCAGCTCACATTCAAGAGGAGGGGATTAAACAAGGATGTAGATATTGGGAGGTAAGGATCACTGAAGCCATTTTTTGAGCTGCCCTCATCTACCACCACAACATAGAGTTAATAGAACTAATGGTTACTGTTTCCTGTGTCCTTTTCACAGACTTCACCTGTATTATTGCTAATATTCATCATAGCCCACCCTGTCAAGTTAACATCCTTGTCAATTTACAGGGCAAGGGGCTGAGGCTTAAAACATGAGCCATTGATCTTGGGGCTCCACCTGGTACACAGGATTCAAGATCTGGTCTTGCTAGCTCCTAAGATCAAGGGATCTGTATTTCCTCAAGCACCAAGGTCATGATGGCGTTAGGGATCTGACCTCATATTTTGAGGAGCCTTGCTCCAGAGTAATTGGAAACCATCATCTGTTTAGATCCAGTCTAGAATCCTTGGCTTACAGGTCTCCTAGGAAAGCAGGCCATAACTGAAAAATCCTTGCATGCACTCCTTCCACTGCCTACCTTATTGCCTCTCATCCACAAGATTGCAGATGTGCCATGCTCCAAGACCCCTCCAGGCAGACTGGTCTGGGGTTTCTCAAGACCTGTCACCCTGAGAGTCTGCATCCAATCAGGGCTACCTGCCCTAGCAGAGGTAATGATTTCTGATAGAACATATGATGGCTTCTGTCCAGGTTGAGTTACCAGCAGACAGGGACCCTGCTCACCACAGTGTTGAAGACAGAGATTCCATTGGCTCTGTAAAGGTGGCTGGCAGGCAGTGGGAGCCTTATTGAACCAAGACTGGATCCAAGCATGGAATACAATTCCTACCTCCCTCCTGAGAATAAAGGACTTATTGCATGTTTAGATCAGGAAGGGATTGGGGGAGGGGGGCACTGAGAGAGCCCATGCGGAAAGTCCTGACACTTTTATATTTTACTTAAAATTTTATGACCGAAGTATCACATGCTTGTGAGTGATACAACTGAAGGAAGTGTATGATTGGAGAATCAGAAGAACAGAGGGGTTCACTGCATAGCCTGGGTCCTAACTTTGTGGCCTTGGGCAAGATCCATGTGCTTCAGTTCTCTGGTCTGTGTACCAGGGAAGCCCTACAAGGAGACCTCAAAGGACTGTTACCTCGGTTAAAAGAGATCCATTCATAATCGGTGCTGAACACTGTGTCAAGCACAGAGCAAGCCCCCAGCCCTCAGGAAATTACACTCTCTTCCTCACCTCCTTCCAGGCCCTTCTCCCTGAAGTCACCACCTTGAATGCCCTGGTGTGTCCCACTCCACACTTTTCTCCTTGTTCACACAAATGTCATCCTCATGTGGAAGAGTCAGTTCTTTTAAAGAGTTATTCATTAATTCTAAAACTGTGTATGTAGCAATCCCTGCTCTCTTGTGGAGGTTTCTGGACCATTCTGTGGACGTCATTCTGAAACTTGCTCCTGTTTCAGGAACAGTGAATGTGTTCAGTCCCTCTAGGTCAATGCAGATATGGATGGATCTAAGTCCTTATTTTTAGTAACTGCATCATATACCATCATGTGGCAGACTATGATAAAAAGCCAAGGGGCAGGGGTGGAAGTGTGTGACAGAGCATCAGAGCCCGTGATAACTCTGGAGGACCTTCCCCGGAAAAATACACAGGACAGAAAATATTGCATAGAGTTCTGAGTTTATTTTTTTATTTTTTGAACCACTTTGGATCCCACATGTGAAACCCATATGGCCAAAGTCTCAAACCGTAGCAGCACTCCCATCCCCCACCCCAGCTCACACCCTGCATTCCTCTTTTGACACCCCCCACCCCCAGCTCCAGGGGTCAGTTGTCGGCTAGGGCCATCAGACAAGGTCTGTGCTCTCCATTCGTGGAAGATCTGCTTCTTTCCTTTAAAGGCCTTAGCTCAGGTTTTTCAGGTTAAAAGCCCGTTGAAAATGTTCTTTGTAGAGTAGGAAGGATTGCAGACTTCTGTGTCCCCCTAAGCGAGGGAGTCTCAAGCCTGGCTGCACTTTGGAATCAGCTGGGAGTTTTCACCTGCTGCCAGTGGCCAGATCCCACCACAGAGACTCTGGTTCAGCTAGGTTAGCCAGGGTCCTGGGCTCTTTAGAAATATCTGTATTTTAAAGCACCCCAGAGATTTCTAATGCTCAGTCAGGGTTCCGAACTACAGCTTTGAGTGAAAATCCCCGCTGGGGTGGCATTTGCAGAAAGACCACTGGCTGGAATAATAGAGAAATGTGGGCTGAGCTGGGAGCTATCTCAGCAAAACTGTGACTCTCCTCTGAATTCAAATCCTTGAGGTTCTAACTTGCTTTATTTATATGCTGGGGGAAAGAGCTGTGACCTCCAGGCTAAGGATCTGAAACCCAGCCCATTAGCATGTTTCCAAACACTTCCTAACAAAGGGAAGGTTGATCTGCAATTTAAGTGTTTGCTGAGAATCCTGGTAAAAGCCTCTAATTAGCCGGTGGGCTGGGCTTTCTGAGCAGTTCATTCCTGTGTGGGATGAGGTTCTTCAGCAGTTTTCAACCAGGTAATTTTTGCAGCTGAAGTTTAAAAGAAAAGAGGGGGGAAATGGCTTTTTGATTCCTGAGACAGCAGCGTGCGGTCCAGAGACCTTCTAGAAAGTAAAGTAGAGTTGGCCACTGAGGTTATTGGGCTGTTATTGGAAGTAGGTGCTAAAAAGAAAGGAAAGAAAAAAAGAAATGTAGCTTGATAACAGCTCTTTGAAAAATTAAAAATAGAATTGCCATATGATCCAGCATTTCTGCTTCTGGGTATATGCCCAAAAGAATTGAAAGCAGAATTCAAGACATTTGCACACTCGTGTTCACAACAGCTAAAACGAGTGGAGGAGGAAGGGTGGGAGTTGAGGAGTGGGCAACCTAAGTGTCCACTGATGGATGCATAAATGGATAAACAAAACGTGGTGTATACATACAATGGCATGTTGCTCAGCCTTAAAAGAAAGGAAACTGATACATGCTCCAACCTGGATGAGCCTAGAGGACATTATGCTAAGTAATAAGCCAGATACAAAAGGACAAATACTGTATCATTCCCCTTATATGAGGGAATGGCAACCCACTCCAGTATTCTTGCCTGGAGAATCCCATGGACAGAGGAGGCTGCTGGGCTGCAGTCCATAGGGTTGCACAGAGTCAGACTTGACTGAAACAACTGTGCATGCACGCATACCTTAAAATGGTTAAAATGGTAAGTTTTATGTCACATGCATTTTACCACAATTTTAAAAAGCAAGAGAAAGAGAAGAAATGCAGCTTAAGCTCCATAGAACCCGAGGGTTTCCGAATAGTTCCTGGAGGCTGAGTCTGGACGCTCGCAGACTGTTCTCTCTGAGGGGTTAAGAACAGTGGCTAGGGGCCAGATCCTTGAGCAAGATTCCCAGGGTTCACTCCGTGATCTTGGCACTTTTCTCAGCTTCTCTTTGCCTCCGCTTCCTTATCTGTAAAATGGGGACAGTGGTCCTGACTTCAGTAGATTGTGGTCAAGCCGAAAATGAATTAATATATATGAAGGCTTAGAATGGTTCTCGGCTCAGAGAAAGTGCTCCTTAAGTATTGGCTACTATTATTACTACTGACAGACACCAAATTTATGCAGCTAGATGCCATCTTAAAACTTCTGAAAGAAGATGGGTTATTATATATAAATAAATACTTTGTTCTAGCCACTTTGTCAGTTTGTAGTGTGAGATTTTGTGGAAAGCACGAAAAGGGAGGGAAGCACTAATTTTATAGACTTGCCTGGGTGGGGTATTTTCTCCTGTTCCAGTCACTCTCCTTCCTGGTGTCAGAAGAAGACCATCTGACTGCTTGGAGGTGAAGTTTTAGGGCGCTTGCTAGATTAGAAGGAACTGAATGAAGTTCATGTCCTGATCCTCTGACCTGAGGATCCTGGGCGTCCTGGCCTTC